CTTTTGATATGTTGATGTTATTGATTGAAAATTATTATATATTATTCCCAAAGATTTCATCTCTTTTCTTTCTTTTTTTGTTAATGAATTAAGAAATTTAATGATTTTAAGTCTTCTTAGACTCGACTGGAATATCATGCAAAGTTTGAGCCTGTAGTTAATTTATATCTTATGGTTGCAAATTTTCTTCATCTAATAGACTCCAATCAATAGCGTTTTCATCAACTACTTAATCTATCTCATCATTTGTATACCAATTTTATTTCAATTAATCAATTGTCAAAAATCTTATATCCTTTTTAAATAGCACAAACGGCACATTCTTAGAAACTTAATCCTTCTATACACTAATCTCAGGCACATCCTCGTGCCATTTCAAGCTATAGCAGTTTCCTCTGATTTCAGCTATCTAAGCTTAATATTTGAACTCATTTCTCTTTCCATAGAATTTCTAATTTCTCAATTTTAAATATGTGTTATTATAACTTCCCTTCTTTATTGTAATATTATTGGTAACAAGTACACGATCTCCTACATGATATTCATGCTTGCAATTTTAATTATGAATAAAACCTCTTTTTTAAGTTTCGGTGATTATTTGCTTTCTTATTTCTTCAGCAGTAAGCTTTTTAATCTGGGTAGTAGTAATATGTTTATGAAAAAATGCCTCCTCAGGAGTCATTTTATGTGTAGAATGCTTTTTGGTATTATAAATATATAAGCATTGCTTTAATATCTAGGCTAGATTCATTGTCTAATCATTTTTTAAGAGTAAGTCATTCTTAAAATTCGTTAGGCTCTCTTAGATGGTCCTATTAAATCTCTCTATTAAACCTTGACTTTGAGAGTGATACGGTGCTCCGTGAATGAGCTTAATATTTCTCTGCTCACAAAATTCCCTCATCATGCTATTTTTAAACTCGGTTCCGTTATCTGTATGCAGCAGCTTAGGATATCTGCCCAACACTTCTTTTAATTATTAAAATAGCTGATCAATAAAGTTTAAAACTATATCAGCCTTTTTAGTTTTTATTAATTTTGCCCATGCTCATTTCGAGTGATGATCAATAATAGTGATTAGATACTTATACTGCTCATCCTTAACTAAGAACTGAGATAATTCAACAAGATCTGCTTAAATTCTATCTAAAGGATACTCTTCATATAAAACAAGAGAAGGTGGTTTTTTCAATTTCATTGTTGGCTTCTTTAGAGAGCAAATGGGACATTCATCTATGAAGTTCTTAATATACACTCTCATATTTGGAAACCAATAGTGCTTATAAACCTCACTTTCTAAAGCGTTTTAGCCTAAGTGCATATTCCCATGTGCCAATCTGATTAAATCGTCATATTCAGATTTTTTAGGAATCTTCTTGTAGCCACCTTTTCGAAAAATAAAGAGATTATACTCTCTTTTAGTTATTGAGTTTTAAGTGATATCTTGAGTTTATGATCATTTTAAATTTGATGAATAGATTTAATTTGCAGAATCTTTAGCTTAATTATTGAGTTCATGATTATCAAAAATATCAGATACTTGAGTTTTTGTTAAGGAAGTTTGAGTTTCATGGGATGACTTTTATTATTCGATAATTTCATCTGTCTAATCTAATTAGAAATCCTAGAATATAACCAGTTTATCACGCTATTCGCGCTAAGTATCTAATAATTTCTGCTGCGAATGACTTTATAGAACAATATCAATACTGAAATCAATAGGCTGCAGACTATAATTTTCTTTAACTCTCTTCCTCCATCTTCCTTTTCGCTTATTCAGACTCATAGATTCTATTCAAAATTTTTTTTATGTAAAACTTACATGACTCATACAATACTCAAGGTGAAATGTGGCATATATTCATAGGAAGGCTTTTGTAGTATAAGTCCTCGAGAAATTAATATATGCTATCTAACTCTTTGCTCTCAAATATTTCTCCATCACAAGCTGTTAAAAAATTATTTGCATCCTCACCATCAATTAAAAAGTTAGAATCTCTAGCCTTCTTTTATTTTTTGCACTTACAATCTTTTCTCTTACCTTTTAGGAATTCCATTATTAAGATGCAAACCTTTTCAAGTGTTTTCATTTTATAAGCCTATTATTATTCCTATCTTTTAAATTATTCTGAGCTTTATTAGGTTTTCTTCTTAAATTGGTTTTTCTGTTTAAGTAGCTCCTGTTATTGCTAGCTATTGACCTTTAAATAGTAATTATTAATTCATCATTAGT